CGCTCTTGCTCAGGCTGGTCTCGAATTCCTGACCTCTAGCGATCCTCCCGCTTCGGCCTCCCAGAGTGCTAGGATTACAGGCGTGAGCCACCGTGCCTGGCCCACCTTTTCTTTTTAAATGAATATGTAGAAAGTTTGTTTGCTATATTTACAGGGATTCACTATCTTCTTCATACTTTATGCCTTAAAATATCCACATGCATGCATATGTTCATAATTGCTGGCACGGTTATTGCTTTGATGGTAAGTTCTCTGAAACACTGTTTTCTGGACCATTAGAGAGGAAAAAGACAATGATCACTGTTATTTTATACCAGTTCAAATTTGAGAATAAAAATCTTTGAAAGTAACTATGTTAGTAATTACATTTACATGTCTTTTTATAAATTACAGTGCAGTTTTTTTTACACTATCTCATTATACAATAACTCTGAGAACACAGAAGTCATCTTATTTCTATTTTATAAATGAGAAAATTGATGTGCCAGAGGATATCCAGGTGGTGATAAGACAAACTAGGACTAACATGTAAGCCTTTGGACTCTGCGGTCTGTGATTTCTGACTCTATTAAATCACTTCCTGTGAAAATTGCTCAACTTGCTAAGAACCGTGCTCTCTAGGTAAGCTTCTGTAATATGCAGTTGAGGTGATGACCCCATTTCGAAGGTGCAAAATCCATCTTAATTCTGGTTAGGAAAGCAATGTATGTATGATTTATAATGAAAAGATTTTTTTTCAGAACTTCACAAAAAGTAATTCCCGTGTCCATGTTAAGGAAACATGGTGTTTAAATAACCCTTCCAGTGCACCTCAAGGAAATGATCTGTCTTTCAAGGGTTCAAAGAACCATTCGTGTCTAGGGAAAAGCATACAGAAGGACCCTGATGAGTCACGTGGTCCATTCCTTTGGTTTTTGGCTGGGTGCTGTGTTGCTAGGTTCTTCCAAGAACTTGGTGATGGGACGTGAGGAACTAATGACACGTGAGTGGAAGAGCAAGCGGTTCCGGAACTTGCTAGGTGTCTGGTTCGAAAGAGACACTGAAGGATTGGAGATTTTTGTTCTAAAAGCAAATTAGGAAAACTTCAGTGTGATTTGTATGTTGAGTGTCCTCATTCTTCAGGCTTGTTCTGTCCACAACTATTGCCAAGCTGTGGCTGTTGTTTGAAAAGAAAGGATGGGAGGAGAGAAGTAACCACGACACAAAAACAGAACGCTCTAAAAACAACACACATGAGATAATCACATTTATGTGAAATGTATACGCAAGCAAATATAGCACATGTTCACACGTATGTAAAACTTTATTTTTAAATGAATTTTTAGAGTTTA